GGCACTCTACCAAGGGTAACAAAATAAGACTCTATATTTTAAAAGAAAGAACAGACTCTGTCTCTACAAAAATAATAATAATAAATAAATAATACAAATATAACATACTTTAGTAAACGTTTTCTTAACTTTCTTTTTGAGACAGAGTCTCAAGCTGTCACCCTCAGTAGAGTGCTGTAGCGTCACAGCTCACACCAACTTCAAGCTCTTGGGCTTAAATGATTCTCTTGCCTCAGCCTCCCAAGTAGCTGGGACCACAGACACCTACCACAACACCTGGCTATTTTTTTGTTGTAGTTGTCATTGTTTGGCAGGCCCAGGCTGGATTCAAACCTGCCAGCTCCGGTATATGTGGCTGGAGCTCTAGCCACTGAGCTACACATACCCATCCTTTTTAACTTCTTTAAAGTTTTAACTTTTTTTTTTTTTGCAGTTTTTAGCTGGGGCTGGTTTTCAATCTGCCACCTCTGGCAGATGGTGCTGGCACCCTACTCCTTTGAGCTATAGGCGCTGCCCTAACGTTTTAACTTTTTAAACTTTTTAAAAAAAGTTTACTTACTTTCATGATACGATCATTGATTTCCCTCATGACAAATCTGTCCGTTGTCTCAGCATTCTTGAAATCTGTTGTTAATCTGGAAGTAGCACGAAAATAGTCTCCACGAGCAGTATACAGCCACTGTAGACTCAGGCCCATCTCCTGAAGAAACATTTTAAATTCATCATCATTAATTATTTCTAAGGATGTTACTTTAACATACCTTTCTAACTTAGGTGTGGCAACTGAGATTCTGATGAAAGAATGTGACTCAGAGGCTGGTTGCCTGCCGCTCAGTGGTTAGGGCATGGGCCACACGCTTGGGGCTGGTGGGTTGAAATCCGGTCTAGGCCTGCTAAACAACAACAACAAAAAATGGACGGGCAGTGTGGCAGGCCCCTGTAGTTCCAGCTACTAGGGAGGCTGAGGCAAGAGAATCACTTTGAGCCCAAGAGTTTGAGGTTGATGTGAGCTATGACGTGACGGTACTCTACTGAGGGTGACGAAATGAGACTGTCTGAATTTAAAAAAAAAAGTAAGAACAGCTACTCCGGAGGTTGAAGTAAGAGAATCGCCTAAGCCCAGGAGTTGTTGGAGGTTGCTGTGAGCTGTGATGCCACAGCACTCTGTGGGTTATATAAAGTGAGACTATGTCTCTAAAAAATAAAAGAAACAAAAAAGAAAGCTAGACTTTAGGCCAGGCGCAGAGGCTCACAACTATAATCACAGCACTTGGGAAGCTGAGGCGGGTGGATTGCCCTGAGCTCACAGGTTTGAGACCAGCCTAAGCCAGAGTGAGACCTCGTCTCTAAACTAAAGTTGCCAGGTGTTGTGGTGGGCACCTGTAGTCCCAGCTTCTTGGGAAGCTGAGGCAAGAGAATCACTTAAGCCCAAGAGTTTGAGGTTGCTGGGAACTATGATGCCATGGCACTCTACCAAGTATAACAAAGACTGTCTCCAAAGAAAAAAGAAAGAAGAAAGGTAGACTTTTTAGCACCTTGTATTAAGAGGTTTCAACTACTCTAAACTAGGGTAATACACACATTTGGGCTCGGCGCCTATAGCTCAACCGGCTAAGGCGCCAGCCACGTACACCTAAGGTGG